CTAGAGACTTAGACCATAAACTCATTAGGAAACTGTTTACTGAGTTCATAATTCAACTTTTACATAAGACTCAATATTACCCGCCCATGGAGCTGGCCCCTGCTGGCTGTTAGAGAGAATGCAGGTTTAAGACACTTCCTGGAAGCTTTGTCTCTGTATTTACATGATTACTGTTCTCTCTTTCTGCAGAGTCCTATCAGTTTCCAGGTTTTCAGGGTTTGCTTCAGGACAACGATACACTGCGTCTGGGCCTGGACTTCCAGAGGTTGCTACGCATCAACCACATGTTGTACATTGCCGCCAGGTCAGTAAACGCACACAATATAGATGTCTAATGTTTTCAGCAGTTTGATATCCAACAGATCAGGGGTAGGACCAGAGGTTTTGGTTTTAGTCATTCAGTGTCAACAGGTGCTTTCAGTCTGGAGCCATTTTGGTGTTCAACATTCAACAATCGCATAGATGGAAATCCACTGAAGAGAAAGTGACTCATCAAATAATGCAGTGCAGAAGTGGGACCTAGTCTCAAGTGTTTGCACTCAAGTCTCATGTCATAATGGGGCCACCTTGCAGTTTTTGTACACAAACAAAATTATATTTGGTGTAATTTTGTCCAACTGGCGCTCCATAACGTAATGTTAGTTCTTTGTGGTTCTCTCACATGTAATGTCGACTGGGAATGAATAATGTTAGTTGATTCAGGAAATGATGGGAAACTAATTGGTTTGTGGCGCACTGCTTGGACTTGGGTGAAGGTATCAAGTATTTTCAAGTCAAAGTGAAGTCATTGGTGTTGAAGTCTGAGTCGAGTCTTTTTTTTTATTTTTTTCAAGTCGAGGCTAGAGTCATTTCTGCCTTAAGTCCAAATCATTGGACTCGAGTCCAAACCTCTGCAGTGAAGCGACAAGTGTTGTTCCAATCTGAGCAACAGTCTTGAGCGAAAAGTTTCTTGATGATCTATTTTCAACCTTTAAGAGCAGGCTGAAGTCTTCCATTTATCCGTATACAGTATAAATATTATGCACATTGGAGGAAATATTGACAGATATCAGCATAAATGATGCAAGAAAACTAAACTTTCTTCTTGCAAATATTGTGTTTGACTTCGTCCTCAGTTTAGTTTTAAGGCTGCAATTACAAAGTCTGTATCTGGATTAACTTTTGAATTTCATGTGTTTTTTGTGTTTTGTGGGATGTTATTTTAACTGTAAATTAGCTGCTTTGATCTGATTTGAATTTTTCTGTTGCCTTCTTCTTCGGCGTGTTAAAAGGAAGATTAAATTGTAGAGATTCACTAACTGCAGTAGAGGAAGATTAAGTCAAAATACTAAACAAGTTAGGACAGGAAGAACAAGAACACACGTACAAAGACATGGACAGACATGATGGGATATACTAAACATATATGTTGACTCTGTGCTTTGAACTCTTCAGGGATCACGTGTTTGCTGTCAACCTGACGACAGCTTCAGAGGAGTTCATACCTCAGCTGGTGAGTAAAATTATATGATAAACACTTTATTTTTTGGATTTGTTTCTGGAAAACAAACATCTTTCTGCGTCCAGGTAGACGGGCAGGTTACAGCTTTTGGTTTGAAGACAAACTCCAGAGGTCCTTGAGTTAGTAGTGATATACAGTCATTTTAGCACTGCATTAATCCTATTGCGATAAAACTGCAGGACAACTGATGCTAACAAACATTAACTCATTGAGCAGGATAAAACCTCAGTAACAGGCTGACTTTCATGAAAACCTGAAAGTCTTAAATATTAATTTAAGGGCTAAATGCATCATCACCCATAACAATTACTTTGTGACACTTCAAACCAAGTGGAAAGTTGTCATTGGAAACTGCTTGAAAAAGGGCAGGAACATTAAAAAAAATAGTGCCAGGTGATTGGATGAACCATCCATCTATCACTGTCTATCATGGGCGAACTTCAACCCATCAGATCAATGAACCGTATAACGTAGTCAAACTCTTAATGAAGTCAGGCAGGAGAAGAGACAAAACATCTTGTCCACTGAGAAAGTGAAGAAATATTCTTCAGTTCTGATATAGCTGCTGCTAACAGCATCTATGCTAACTTCTTTAGCAGTGGCCATTGTCACAGTCATGTCTCAGACACACCGAGCATTAAACTATGCCTTTAACCGATTGGTTCGAACCACTGTGGTTGGACACAAGTAGATTGAAGCCTGGCAAGAATAATTATGGCGTGATCTTGATTTTGCGAGATCCAACTTCCAACCGGACAGAAACTAAATAAAACTCATCAAAACCATCTTTGTTAGTGTTTTCAACAATCACCAACTCCAGTTTGGTTGAAATAAATCCTTAAATCACAGACGTAGAAGAGAAAACAGACCTTTCAGGCTCTAAAAACCCTGCTTTGTTAGCTTTGTTACCTTCTTAATGTTGTACAACAGACCACACCCACAGAGGTCAGCATAGACTCTTTTCTGCCATAATATGATTTTTTTAGAGCTTCTCTTCATCAGTTTTGCTGAGTGCATTGAATCAACATCACAGAGTCACGTCTGCGCCGCAGCTCCGCTCCACTGTGATTTAGTCTTACATAAGAATCTTCCCCTCAAAGCTTCGAGAACAACATCAAACCTGACAGCTGACAGCGCAGCAAAAGAGCCTTTTTACTTTTTTGCACAATAGACGCAGTAAATATCAGAGCGGCAGAACAAAACTAGAGCAGCTCGTAATGTGTGAGGCGGCACAAAAGGACACGTTTGCCTTTGATCAGCACACCTCCTCCTGATCAAAGGGAAAAGGTTACAGGTTGGCTCTTGGTAGTAATGTTCCTCCCAGTGCATTGTGGGATGGCCTACAGCAGCTCTTTGATGTGAGCTGTTATTGTCGTTATCAGTGATCCGACCTCAGGACCACATCACCTCCTGCTCCGCCGTTCATTCTCTGTTTGTCTTTAAAGCTAAGTTTTAACATTTTAATTATCGAGAGGGCAGTTTTAGTTATGGATGTGTCTCTCAGCCAGAAATAATCGCCATCATTACCCTCAATGAAGATTTTTCATGTATTGTTCCAGAATGGATAGTCTTCTCTATTGCATGTCAGAGGGGACAATATCTTCTTATTATATATAGTGACCATTGAGGGAACAAAGAGCCAGAGAGCCAAAAATGGATACCTGTAAGATCACTAGAATCCATCTTGCCAGGATTCCAGTGGTTCAGACCAATCCACATCCTTTGAGGAACTACAGGCAGTTTAGCGCTAGGTATGTGATGAAGTGTTTGAGAAGTTTGCTTGAAAAAAACAATGGCTGCTGCTAAGGAGGTTAGCATAGATGCTGCTGACATCAGTTATATCATCAGTACCTGAAATGGGCCGGTACTCACCAGTACTTACTACGGGCACTTCTGATTTTTGTCCACGAGTACCCTGAAGATGGTTACATAACGTAGTTACAGAACCGGACGACCACCTGTCGTCAGGTGACTGAAGCAACCTCCACCTGCTAATGAGATACAGTTGAAAGCAAAGAACAGTTAGTAAGTTGACCTTGAGTTGAAAATATTTTATCAATCTGGTTTTGAAAGAACAATCAAGTTCAAGCTCACCGCTGGTTCTGCCTCTTTATTTATTAATTAATGTCGGTCTCATCAGGTGACTCTCAGAGATTTAAACCTAAAACAAATCTGGCACCAGCACCATATTTGTGGTTTAACTTTACTCACCGGTGGCTGGCGACGTGTATCTGAACTGCAGCCTCAAGAGCTGCTCGCTGACTCACCTGAAGTGTTCCTGCACTCAGATAATGACTCACTCTCCTCCTCACCTGGGTGCTCGCAAGCGTTTACATCTCAACAATAGGGCTCTTTGCGCGAGCGTTGACTCCACGGCGCAGAGAAAATTATACCTTTCACGCATCTGTGGCACCAGATTACATCCTGTGTTTCTTCTTTCTGTGTTCCAGAAGCTGACGTGGCGATCCAAAGACGTCAGCAAGTGTACCGTCAGAGGGAAGAACAGCGTGAGTTTCCACCTCTTGCCTCCTACTTGTTCTTCATTTTACAGTTTAATTTTTTGTTCACAGGTGAATGCTTTAACACAGAGTAAAATATACAGATGAAATCAGACACATTTTCTTAGTCGTGTGGAGAGACTCCAAACAAAGTGTTTCCTCCCTGAGGGCCTGTTAAGACCTGATATCATCATGTGTTTTCAGTGATCCGATCACAACGGTATGTCATGTTTACACCTGGCATTAAAACATGCCTCGAGTTAACACTTGTGATTGGATCTCACTTTCCCAATCTATGCACAAATGAACACAATAGGACTGTATTCTGCTCAGATGTCCATTATTACTGTCCTTTTGCCTGTTCAGTACAAACATC